AACTAACAGGAACAGATGGGTCTAACTGGATACAGGCATGATGGGGCATTGTGGTAGAGCAAAAGAACATGTTGATTCTCATACCTCTGGCAGATGGGAAACAGTCAAAATTAATTTTAGACTAAAAATGTTTTGCTGCTTCTCAGTAAAAAAAAAAAAAAATTAAAGAAACCCACTTGGAACAATATGCTATTTTATACATGCCATCAGAGCTCAGACAACAGCAGCTTTCACAAAGTTGGTACCATACATTAAAACCAATTATATAGACTTACTGTATGCCATTTTTAAGTCTGTGAATAAATTAGAAATTCCTGAAAACAGTAGCTTATAATGGAAGTGCTGACACAACCTTAACTACAGCAGTAAATGTGCTGCTATTATGAAGTTGTTATGGCAACTAGAAAGATCAAACAGAGAGAAAGGAAGAATATGCATAACCAAAACTTCAAAATCTTTGATGTGGTCACCCACAAACTCTTCCAAATTTTGTGGTCGCAGTGTTATTGGTCCTTACCTTTACAAAAAGCAAAACAAAACAAAACAAACAACCCAAATAAAACTGCAAAACTTGCCTTTAACACAGGTGAGGAGTAGGGCTGCCAAAACAGTGTAAAATCCAAAACAAATCCAAGGTCATAATCCATTTTGTTCATGAACAGTCTAAAAAATAGAGTCAATTGAAAGATATCTGGCCAGCATCTGGTGAGCACACATTCATTAGATAACACAAGTTAACAAACAACAATTATGCAAAACTGTTCAGTCTTCAAAACAGTTCCATAATTTGTTACCAATATGAAGAGTTTAGTAACAGCAACCTGCTGTAATTTGGCTCAATCAAACAGACAGCACATTCACAAATACTGATCCCATTAATTAAAATGTGATTAAAAATATAATTGAAGCTCATATATTTGTGAAACAATCATTACTTACTCTTCCTAATACTGTGTTAAACAAAAGCACAAATCTTTGGCTGGTTCTAATATTGAAATAATGGGAGAAAAAACATACCAAGGCAGACGAATTTTAATACAAAAAAAAAAGCTCAAAGTATGATTTCTAAAACAAATTCATTAGAACCAGTGTCAACACCCTAGTTACCTTTCCCAAAAAAATTTAATATTTTAACTGCAAGTGTCATTCTTGCAAAATTTCACTGAAAAAAAATTCCAACAAAATGATAGCAGCAACCAATAGCAAGAGAAATAATGTTAAATTATCATTATTAGGAGTAGCAGTATACATTTTTATTACAACATTCTATCCAAATTCATCTACTAGCAATGCTTTGACTTGAAAAGTAGAAAACAAACTATTTCTCTGTCTTTTCAAAGAATTTCATATTAAAGCCACTTTTTCTCAAGTCTAGTTTTACTAGCATAACTAAAATCTAGCTAACACAAAAGCCCTCAGATGTCTGACATGATAAGAGTTGTGCTAAGTACTTTTACTCACTCATTTCCTAGGTAACAAAAACGCCTTTTCTTCTAAACTATCTCATTCCATTTTTCTTTTCAGCTTGTTGATCTATATAATTTTCCAGACTATGGGAAATACCCATTTAATGAGAAGAGAATCAATTTTAAGAAATGCCTAAGTATGTACTTTCACTGAGAGCTAGCACATATTGCTGTTAAATTAAAAATTATTTTAAGATTTAGGCTTACACATTCTTAAGTCAAAAATTATTCAGTGTTAATTATCCAATTGATTTAAAAATTTTAAAACTTTGAATACTCTTTTTTATTTTCAGACACAACGTATTCTATATTAAACATTGAAAAAATACAGTTTTGCAGATGAACTTCATTTAGCTGGAAGATAATCAAATATTCCATTGACAAAAGAGAATTCTTTAATCTGCAATAATCAAGAATTATTGATATGAGATCGCAACAAATACAAAACTGTCCTCCCCCCGAAAAAAAGGGATAAAAGAAGGCAAAAGACTATTTTGTTCACAAAGGCAAGAAATACTTCTAAGCAACAAAAGCAGAAATAATGATGACATTTTCTTCAGAACATTAGTTCTTCAGCAATTTAAAAATTCTGATAAATACACTGCTTTTCTCTGAAAAGCAATCACTAGTTATCAACTTGCTTGAAGCAGCTAATCTTACAGCTCTCTAAAAGCTGAATGACAATATTCAGAAAAAAGGTAAAAATACGATTTCCGTGTGCATAAGCTGTTTGTCAGATAAATAGTAAATACTTGATAAAATTCTCAAAAAGAAAAATGCTTAGAAGTGTTCTCTAACACTATGTCTTCTTTCAGGGGTTTTTTCAAATTAATTTTCCCATTAATTTACAAAATTAGTGATTATCACACATTTTATAATTTGTAAAAATGGTTCACTGAGATACAGCTTTACTGACCACTCAGTCTTATTAGAAAAATGTTTTTTCCAATATATTTGATGAATTAGTTTCATACAGTGGGGGTAATATTTGGCCTTTAGGACTTGAAGAATCTATAATTATTAACTGTACATGGACTAGCACAGACAATACCCGGCTTAACACTATTTGCAAAGCTACTAGCTTTGATACTGTAAATATTAAATACCACTGTGAGATTGCAATGAAATTTCAGTGAGCTTTCAAATCAAATGGTCACACACTTAAAATGCAAAATGTTTTTAAGAAAGCATTCTGCTCACTTCTTATGCAACTTTTAAAAAGCACTCTTCATAAAGCAGGTAAGTATATAATTCACCCTAGATCCAATTTTCAGGTGCAGAGTTTCAACCTATTGTTAACTAAAGCTACATAGTAGGTTTTTGTGCATAAGACCATTCAAAAAAATAGGAACTGAAATAGAAGTCTGTCCAAGTATGGGACTTTTGCCTCACTACAAAGTTAACTTTTCTGCTGTCACAAAGTTATGCAGAAGACAACACATCTGTGATCCAAATGAAACAAAGTAGAGGGGTGTAGTCTGTGATTCCTTACTACTGGCTCAGAGGTGTGAAAACTTCATGTCAACTGATGTTATTCATGGACAAGGAATCCCTCATCAGACCACTTTGTGAGTCCAAGATAACCCAACTGTGCAAGGAAGTAGTCCCCTAGTGCAGCACTGGCTGTCACGCAGCAGATATCCAGTCACAAGATGGATACAGGCCCTTTGGAGTACTCAGTGGTGCACGCTTGAAGCAAAAGCTACTTCAGTCACACCAGCAACATTCTCCACCACAGATGTTCTATATCCACTTTGGTCATGCAGCTTATACATAACTTATTCCTGTTGCAGATTGACCAAACAGAAAAGATTTTCAGAACATCATGCTAAAAATACAATTCTTTGTGCTATATTCAAGGTTGAAAATTTTAACCATCTTCATCTTTAGTGTTTTAATTCTTAACACCAATCTTGTCTTATCCCAGACTAAAGTTGCACATCAAGATGTCAGAATTACTGTCATGCCCTAAATTTTAACATGCTGCTTTATCCAAGTTATCGTCATCCTCATCTCCAGGTGTAAGACAGCAGAATACTTTTGATACTAACACACACACAGCTCAGTTTACCTTGTCCTGAAGAGGGGGAAAAAAGTGGGAGATATATATATATATACACACATACATATAAATTATTTTGTTCTTCAGGGGATAATCACAGGGGATATTTGAGTCCTCTGTTTTGGGATTTGTGAAGGGGGAGGCAGACCAGGTTAGTGTTTGTCTCCCAAAAGACTATCTGAGAATACAAAGGTTGTGCTTTGTCAGATAGCAGTTACTTGGAAGGTTTTCATAAGAATCAACACTTTTATGAAATATGGTAATAAATATAGGACACTTTCAGTTCAGCTTGGGCACCAACTCCAAGCACGGACTGTGTATGTGAAGACAGAAATCATGAGAGAGAAAGTGTTAATATTATTTCAGAAAGTATGCCTCATTCCAGTACTTTCAGCATGGACTTTATATCATCTACCCATTGTATCCTTGGCAACTCGACTTGTTATCTAAAGAGACAAAATTGACAACTTAGATTTAAAGTTACAGCCATCATGTATTTCTAGGCTTGGATTTGGTCTGGAGCTAGATAGAATACAAGCCAGAGAACAAAAATATTCCAAAATTTATTTGAAGTGATATAAGGGCATAACAGTGCTCATGATTTTTGACTGGATAAACTAGAAAAAGCTTTATCCAGATGCTCCATCATTCTATAATAAGGAAGATGAAGATAAGTTAAGTTTTCCTCTTCAGCGATGAGAAAAGTTCCTCATACTTAGAGTAAACAAGTACAAACCAGCAGAACCAGGTTTATATTTCACCCTGGTTTTAAAGGAGTCATCATCTTATCTCTTCTTCACCTTCAAGGTACAGAAAGTAAAAAAAGAAAAAAATTGATTGCAAACATTTTCTTGTCAATAAATTTAAAAAGAAAAGTTACACTAAAGAAGATTCTGGGAGAAAAAAAACAACCCTCTATTTTGAGGAAAAGTTCTGAACATCGCATTATTTTCCCCACAATCATCACACATTGCCCTTAACAACATTGATACTGCAAATGAAGATTTTACCCATCATACTTTATATTTATGAAGGCTTATGCTACACTGAAGTGACTTCTTCAAAATATATTATTTTTTCCATATTAGCCTTGAGAGAGAAGCTCCTCAACCTTAAATCACAGAATTTAAATTTCTAAATTAATTAGAAATGGATTTGTGAGTGTCTATAATACAAAGTGTGTAATGAGTTTGAACATAATCTTCATACAGAGAATCCTTTGAAAACAGTTAATTTAAATGTTAAGGTTTCCTTTTGCAGAGGAAAAAAAGAAGAAATGTGTGGGTTTAATCTATAAATTAAGTTATAAATTAAAACGTACAAGACAACACCAGGCTCCCCAAATGAAAGGCTACACGAAGCAAAACACAAACCATGATTTTTAAAGCAGATCCATTAGAACATCTTTTTTATAAAAAGCTAGCTTTGAATAGACCTTAACCTGACTGGAGTTTTTAACCCTGTGAATGACATCCACCCTGTCAAAACAGCTCTGGTCTGTTTTACCTGATCATATCCCAAAACATCAGTTTTTTTCCTGGTTTGTTTCCTAATGATAAGCTGTTAAAACACAGAGAACCTATCAAACCTAGTATTATCCTCTGCTGCTTTTTTCTTCTAGTACACACTGCCGTCCATCAGAAGAAATAATTAATGGTTCTATTATGTATGAAAGTGTCATCCTGTCAGTTCAGTGACTGGTTTGAATAGCTCATATCTGCCACTCATTGATGCCATGCGTGCTCACTGTCCTGAGAGATGACAAAACACTACACCCTTTAGGATTTTTCCCCCTCTCTCTAAAGCAGCATTTCACATCTGTGTCTGACAGAAGCATGAGAAGCTGAGAGAGGCAGACCTTCATCATCCTTCACAGAATAATGTTGCATGGATTAAAAGTTAAGATCTGATGTCTACTGATCCTGCATATTTCCTACAAAAAAATCTAAAATGTGGAGGCTACCAAAATGTGAAGGGAAATAACTTTTCAGTGTTGGAATAGCACCAGAAAACAGATGGAATTCACTGGAGAGAAAATATTTAAATGATTTTTTTAGATGGGTGCTGAATACTTGAGTTGACTGGGGTCGGTGCATTTGCCTTTTTTTAATATGTTTTTTGGTTGGGAGGGAAAGATGCAAAGTTCACAGGTCCTTTCTGTTACCTGATCAGGGCAGAATTAACAAAAAAATCCTGAATGTAGAAGAACTCAGATACTGAAGATACCTGGAAATAAACTGAAAACAACCAATATGACAAGAGCAAAGCAGCAGTGAACAAGAAGACGCTGTGAAAAAGAAATCACAAGACGAGAGTGCACAATGCATTTCAAATAGAAAAAAGCTTCCTATCTGCTGAGTGAGTCTCAGTATATTCTGACAGAGCACAGACAAAGCTTCAATCAAGTATCTCCTAGGTAAGCTTTTATTTCATATTTGATTGTTTATCACATCAACATATAGTTTAATATATTAATAATAACTCAATTTAAAATTCTTTTACTAACACTGAAGTTTATATTTTTCAATGACACATGTTTGATGTTCTTAGATTTCCTATACTGTAAAAATAACATCTCTCTTTTGATGCTAAGGTTATTCAAAGGAAAAACTCTTAAATTATCTCTAGACTTATACCAGAGTGAAATATTTCCTAAAATTTAAATCCTTGAAAATATTTTAATACATATTTCCATGCATGACTGTTAAAGAAAAAATTTTTAAAAGCCATGCTTCTGTTAATAGTACCACAAAACATTTACTGCACTTCATTATCTATTTAATCTGGCAAACCAAACAACATTTTGCACCACAGCAGCAGATGTAAGAGGGTATCTTTTATTACAGAATAATAAATCTCTGTTTATATAAAAGAATATTAAATTCAGCTAGAAGTGTTGATCAGTTATTTATGAAAGGTAAACTACAGCACAGTGAGGAAACAGCACCATGTTAATGCACTCCAAGGTACTGTGTACAGAGTGTCACTAAGAGGACTGGACTCCGTCCCCAAGTTAAACTATAATAAAGAAGGTGCAGATCATCTCCTTTCTTTCCCTCATTTATGGCATTCACATGAAACACACAGACATGAATTCTACATGAAAACAGCATGCAAAACATTTCAGAATGAGATTCTGCCATCTATTAGGGCTTGAAAAATGAACACTATACCTTTTAATCAAAAAATTACAATTAGAAGTCATAGAGAAAGACACATTTCCTCAGATACAAAAACCTCCCACAACCCTTGAAATTCAAAAAGCATTAAGAATTTTACATCATTTAACATACCATTTATATTATCACACTGGTCAATTTTGTAATCAATAGCAGCTTTGAAAAACTACATCTTTGCTGCTACTGTATTTTATTGTTTTTGCACAATGTTTTCTATTCATTTAGATGCAATATTTCTTCTAGCATTGTTTTAAGTATCTCCTCTACTTCTGTCTGTATCACTTCCCTTGTTTCTATCTAGAACATGTGATTATACGATATTCTTATTTAATATAACCTTCAGATCTTTCTGGGTATTTTTCTTTTTCTGTTTTGCTAACTTACTAAAACAGTATCTCTCTCTTGCCTGATGCTTGCTAAAGGCAGACTAATTTGCCATTCACAAATACCTATTATGAACCCTTCATTTATGTACAAAACATTTAAGAATTCTAGTAAGTGCTAGAAAACTGAACTTACTTGCCAAAGACTGGTAGAATAGTATAAAACTAAAAAACTCAAGTTGATAAGAAACAAGGCTCATTGTAGTATAAGGAGTCAACAACATACTCCCAAAATAAAGGCAGGATATGTGAAACAACTGCAAGAAAGGGGTTATCTCATGCATATTAATGTGGCATACTTTATATATCTGAAACTTATTCTACTAGTCACACTTTTCACTGCCATGGCACGGGGGAAAAACCCATTTCTCTAAGCATGCTTGAGTTTTCTGCTTAATACAGGCAAAGGCATTTCTATTATTCTAACCCTTTCCCATTTTCCCATTTGCTGTATTTAATGAGAATTTGATGAAATTTTTGCTAGTGCACCCATAACTCAGACATTTTGTTGTTGACAGGTTCCAGTACTCTCTATATTTCCCCAGTTTCTGTCCTTTTCCTCTCAATTATTTTTTCCCATGTCTCACTTCACATATCACCCTGATCCAGTAAGAATTCCTCCTGCTTCCTCACAAGTCCTATACAACATGCACTGATAATATGTCTCACATCCAACACACCAAAAAAAAAATCATAAGTGAGGAAGTAGGTTCTGTACAATACACACTAAAATAATATGGCTGTAAGTTCCAATAGAACCAGTTCATGATTTCTATAACTTGAACCATCAAAGCCCACTATAACTCAGTAATATTTGCAACAAGCAGCAAATGCAATACAGCTTCTGTCAGCTGACTTCAGAAGACAGCTTTGTATCTGCTAGACGTGATTCAGAGTTGGATATTAAAAAAGAGAGAAAAATAAGAACTGGAATTCAGCCTTTGTTTCTCCAAGTACTGTTCTCACACTACAAGTTATGTTAACTTCAATGCTTTCTGAGGTTTTTGCCTTCTCTTTTGTAAAAGATACTGCTTATCATGGCTTAAAAATAAAACACAACAAACAACACCCCCCCACACACCAAAACCACCAAACTGTAAACATGCCAGCTAACCAACATCCTTATTTAAGAAAAATCAGGTGATTATTCAAAGATCTCAAAAGGCTTACTCAAAAGCTTGTGTTTTAGAAACTTCTAAACTGACAACTGCACTTAAGGTTTTTTAAACTGTGTTGAAAATATGAGAAGGCTAAGAACAAGTGGAAAGCTTACTTGTAGGAAGAAGAACTGGATACAACTAATATTTTTTTCAATATGTAATCTTTTTAAAAGCTGGATTTTTTCAGATGTATTCATTAATATTTTTAAGTCATCAAGACAAATGCTATTTTTAAGTGCATTATTTCTCTCACTTATCCTCAAGGAATTCAGATGTATTAACTAAATGAATAGTTTATTATTAGTTGTAAAACCTAACCTTCCATGAAACCAGAAAGAAATATCAAAGAATCACAGAATATGCTGAGTTGGAAGGAACCCACAATGATCAATGGAGTCCAACTACTTTCCCCTGTACAGGACCATCCCCAAGAATCACAAAGTGTTTTCCAAAATGTGTTATTATGAAAAATCATATCACTTGAAAGAAGTAAGTCAATATTTCTTTTTCCACCTTTATCATAATCAGTTGTTTAAGAATCACTAAGCATCTGACAAGGATATCTTTTCATTTCCACTCTGTATTGAGTTGTTTGTATATGTGAAATGAATTAACCACATCCCAACATTACAACAGGCAATTGCCCAAAGAGAGAACATCTGCTTAGCAAAATGGCACATGTGGTCCATACATATGGGACCCCCTTCTCCATTAATTCAACAAGTAACAAATATTAAGGTGGTAATGTATGGTTTAATAAGTCCTTTAAAAATCATGTGAATTAGACACAAACCAAAAGTGCCAACTGCCTGATTTGGGCAGTTATCAGCTAAAAGAAATCCACAAATAGGAGCACAGACTTGGAGGTACACATATTGCTGAGCTGCTAGCCTGTCTTCTGCATTCACTTTCACGTCTATCAAGACCACTATGTTACAGGTAAAACATAAGGCACATTTACACTTCCATCCTCTTATTAAAAGAACTTATATAAGCTAATAGAAAGTAAGGAGCGAAATCCAGAACTTAGGCTCCTATAGTTAAATCACTGATGCAGTAAGTCTATTTCACCTTGAGTTACAAAGTAACACAAATATCACCATGGCCATTCACATCTCTCAAGCCCTTCATTAAATAATCTGCTGACTCCAAAAATTACTGTAATGAGAAAAAAGGTCACTAAAACACTTCAAACCATTTGCACTATAAATACATGAGCGTAGTATTATGCAGTACTGCTAAACAGGTGGAAAGAGTTATATTTCAAAAAGCCAACCTGACTGATATTGATTATATTCATATATATATTTTTCCATCTACATTCATATATATTTTTTCATATATATTCATATATAGGGAGTTGATGGTTTGGGGTTTTTTTTGTTGTTTGTTGGGTTTTTTGGTTGTCTTTTTAGGGGTTTTTGGTTGGTTGGTTTCGGGGGGTTTGTTTGTTTGGGGGGGGTGGTTTGTTTGTTTGGGGGTTTTTGAATAAATAAGCAGAGCCAGTTCACACAAAACCAGTATCTGGCTACAGGTGACAACGCACAGAGCAGACATTCAGGCCTCTATAAGTACAAACTCTGATTTAAAACAGAAGCATGAGGGAATATATACATTTATATACTGGTATATATTTTTTTTTTATTTTTTTTTACAAACATTTAAAACTGGCACATATAAACTGCTTTGGAAAGGGTCTGATATAAAGCAGCATCTGTATTAAAGGAAGTTTTGTTACAGCAGATGCAACTGTGTGTTCCTGGCAACTCAACCTGCAGCCCAACACCCTTGATAGACATCTGTTCAGCTCATTCCTCTTTGTTTGTGATACCTGGTCCTGAACCTACTTTTAGGTCCCGCAAGGGCTGCCTCCACACTTTAAATCTCAATTAACCAAACCTGTTAGCTTTTCCATTCTTTTTTTCCCAGAACTGATATCAAATTCACGGATCTACAGTTACCTAAATAGTTCCATTTGATATCATTTTTTCACTTCTAGAAAGACATTCCCTAGTGTTCTTCAATATTCCTGACACTAAGAGACATTAATAACAGCCATTTTTATAGTCCACCTCAATGACAGTATTGATGCTTTACAAGGAATTCAGCCTGCTATTCCTATGCTATATACTTATATATCAACCAGTGGTGAAGCCAGCAAGTGTGCTAAAAATCTTAAAATTACAGGAAAGTTAATTCTTTACGGGACCTCAGTACCTTCCAACCGTTTTGAACTGACACCATCTCAAACTTTAATTTAATGATTCTGCAGCTTACAAACAGGGAAGAAAGAAGCACATCACTTGGGAAAGGTCACCAGAAGTTCCCTACAGCCCCAAATTCTGCACAACAATAACCAAGAGTGTGAGTCTAGGGAAGACTTAAAACAGGGCACACATACAGGAATACTTCCTCAGAATTATTCTGCCTGCCTCCAGCTATTTGCAGTTCAGGGATTTTTTGAGCCTGAGATAATGTCTTATTTATAGGATAACCCTCAAAGTATTTTTCCAGTTGTTTTTGAACTAGCAAAAAACTTCAGTTTCCACAAGATCCTGTGACAAATTTCCATATTGAATTATGAGTAACATCAAAAAATACCTTTGCTTTGAATTTGCTGCCAGATAGTTCCATTTAATATTCCCTACTTCTTCCACTAGCAGAGACAATAATAATTTCTTATTTATCATACTA